GATTTTTTGAGAATTCCACACGAAGGCAACATTCCGGCAGATGACACAGGTGGGAAGACGGACACTCCATGCAGATGGTGGCCAAAAATTACGTAAGTACAACATTATTTACTACTTTAAAAATGTAATTTATGTAACATCATCACGCGCGGACTGTGCGACCGGGAGTCGAACCCCTGCCATTTTATGGGAGATATCTCGACTATAGAAGGCCAAACCACATCACTGGCCGACTTGCTATACTTCGCAATTGAGGTGTCGTGTGTGCTTTTCGCGTGGGANTAGAGTGTGCTCAATGCTTAACACAACTAGTGGAAGAAAGTTCAACCAAACCAATGCTCCTTCATAACATCAAGATTTTTCTGAACTACATGGTGTTACAACACAGACAACAAGATTCTTCATACAGAAACTAAATTGTGACAACTGCAAAGCACCATCAAAGAAATTGATATAGTGATTAAAAAGAAGCAAGCAGAAAAGAGACTTGGTCTGCTTCATCATTATATTGCAGCATATAGACCCAATGGTAGGTAAGGAATCTTTAACCAGTGCTCATTGCCAGGTAACAGATTGTGAACACGCACTAATGGAATGTAACTTGGAAGCAGCGTTCTCCATGCAGTCCATATGATGGCTGTGTGACATAACAATAGAAGAACTGTTGGAAGTGGTGTATTCTATGTGGCCCATTCTGAGGTGTTAGAAGCACGAGGAGTGTAGAGTTGTGAGACAGGCAGATTTTCAGACTGGAGGTCATGAAACAAGTAGTCAGTATTTCCACTGGGTTATGAAAAGTGAGTAAACTGGACATTGTGGATGGGTAGGCTCCCACTCCAAAAATGAAAGACGAGATTACTAGCAGCTTAAGAGCCAGAGATGTAGGATCTTCGACCACTCTTGGAACCTTTGCCTGCACTGACTGGAAAGGAATGCTAGATTGAGGCTGATGGTGGTACACTTGGATTGGCTTGCACCATATCAGGGAACCACTCAGGATGAGAGGCCTTTAGAAGGGGGCAGTATAAGCAGTTGGAGAGTATTCATCATGAGAATTGAGCCACAGGGAAAAAATGAGAGGCCGATCACAGATGACACAAGCAGAGCTCTCAGAAAGGAAGTGGAAGTACGCCTGTAGGCTACTCAAGATGAAGAGCCTTAAGAAAAGAGTAATGTAGCATTGCTAAGTAATGTTTCTGTAAACAAAGCCCGTTGCTAGGCAAAGGACTCCTAACATGCACCAATGGACTAAATGGGAAGTGGCATTCTGTACACAACCCATGCAACAGCTGCATGATGGAACAACAGAAGAACTCTTGGAAGCAATGTCTCCCATGTGGCTTGTGCCAAGGTGTTATAAGGAGGACAAGTCTAGAATTTAGTTCGTTGTGAGACAGTTGCTGACCCGTTACCAAACAGTGACTGGCGAAGAAACGGCAGACTGAGAAGACTCAGTACGTGCTGTAGTGAGCTGCTGCATGTGTGAATTAGTGTTAGCACTATAGTTATTTGTAGTTATGTTCTATAAGCACTCAATAAATCCAATTACCAATCCAAACACCATCCATAGTCACTTCATCACCTGACAATATATTCTGATATAAAAGCTGAAGGTCAGAATAATGGAGCCAGAACAGACGGCCGTTGCTATGCAACAGCAAGGCAAAACCCCCTCTCTGGCAATGAATGCACATGCAACAACAGGAAAACCGCTCAGTCATTGCTAAGCTATGCAGTGTTTTCTGAGGTTCAAGTCCAAGCTATATAGCAAGGATGAACAATTGTGCACGCGGAGAAAAATATGGTATGACTCTCACAGGACCTGAAGAACTGCACTGTGCTAGGGAGGGCCAGCAGCAGTGCAGCAATTGGTCAAGCTAGTTGTGAGCCAGTTGACATTGAGCAAGGCCATATGCAAGTGGAAGAATCTCTACTACTGAGGGCCATTACCAAGCAACAACCAGTAGAGACTCTAAGAGACTGGGACTTACCATGTGCTGTAGTAATTTGTGAATGGTGTAAATCAGTGAGGCTGCTATAGTTACCTGTAGTTATGAGATAGGTGTTCAATAAATCCAGTTACCAATCACAAGCTCCGCATAAGACACATTTTTGTGACTATCTTAATTTTGTTTAAAGTGAGATATTCCTCACTGTGTGATTTTAGTGCAGTAGTCCCTGACACACACACACACATGCACGCACGCACGCGCGCGCGCACACACACACACACAGATATATATGCAGAGTTTCTCTCTCTCCCCCATTAAATGTGGAGCGAAAGAGTTAATGAGACTGGAATGAGCTCAAAGCACACCCTGTGAAAGTAACAGATCCAATGATTTGATGGGGAAACGCTGATGATATAGATCCTTTATGAGACACAGGCATAGATAGGAAAATGACTATTTTTTGCTGTGTTAATGAACATTCAAATTCCCTAGTATCAAAGAATAAATGAATTATAATTAGGGTAACTCAATCCTTTGATCTCAGCTTTCCAATTTCAAATGTTATCTTGCAAGTCATAAACTTTAAAACACATTCTTACCTCAAGATGTCTCACAGCAGCCATGTCAGCATCATACATAATGACAAATCTGGGCTCAACAGTTTGCAAAGTCCTCGATAATGCAAGGGGGTCGCCATATTTCTTAAATGTCTGTAGGACAATAAGTGGCCTTAATGTCTTAACTGGATCTTCTTTATCACCACTCTCAGTTTCAACCTGAACACAAGGATACTGAACAATGAAATTCTCAAAGACATTCTCAAGTACTATACTTCCTCTTACCTCACACTCTGTTGTGCCTATTAAGAGGCAAATAAGAAGACAATTTTTTAATGAGTACTGGACTGATTTACTCGTAATAATACAGAATGTTCCATGACATATTCTCCAAACTTCAGGAGTCTGTTCTACTGGTCATTTGAAGCAAAAAGTGCCTAACAAACCACATGCTGGCTTGATACTGTTATCAAGTCAAGCACTAGCTTAGTGTAGCAGTGAATAAAAAAGTCTTTTGAACTCACCTTTATTACCATCATCAACAATTAAGTTTCATGGTTATTACAACATTCAAAATTCCCACCTTTAGCCTGCATGCTGCTGCCAACTGTGCAAGTGAATGTTGCCATTGTATGTTATCTCAGTCTGGTTTACCACGATACATTCTCAACTTCATGCCACCCCATATTCTCAAATGTTTTGCAATGTGGAATTTTGTAGAGTGGATACTCTTGCTGGTATCCACCACAGCAGCCTTAACATTTCCACTGCAGAAACTGTACACAAAATGTACACGTATCTGTGTATTCTTCATTTGTAAACCTGTTAAGCATTTTGAGTGTGGCTGCACTGCAATGCAACAGAGCCACACTTGGCTAGACAATGTATAAGCAGGAACTTGGTCAAGTTGTAGACGTTTCAGCTTACTCCACTAGTGCTTAACTTGATACTAGCGTTGAATCGACCTATAGTTTATGGGACATTTTTTGCTCCAAATGATTTGCAGAACACACTCCTGAAGTTCTCAATATGCCATGGAACACTGTGTATATGCTTTCACAATAGAAATAATAACAATTACAGGGTATTTAAAAACTGATATGCTGACAAGGGTTAGTGTGACATATATAACAAACAATACTTCATTCTATGTGACTAGCATCCATCTAGTACATGGAAGATAGTTTTGATCAAATATATAAGAATATCCTTTCAACCATTTATGAAGGAGTGATATTAATTTATGATAAATAATTTGCTCTCATCCATATAAAGGGAGATATGCAAAATAAGTTTTTCATATTATCTTTTACTTTAACCACAAAATTTTTCACCTCAGCTAAGAACTGAACTTAGCCTTCTTGCTTTAGAAAATGCTTAACATCTGAATATTAAAAACTTCATTTGCTGATAAAGCTGAAAGACTAATACCTCATTACATTCTTCATACTGCGCTTTTGTTCCGGATTCTTCCTCCAAATCTGATCTTGTTCTCTGAGAAAGAGTATAACTGTCTTTAATGTCTTCATTATCCTGCAGTTCACTTCTCAATTCATCTTGCACTGCCACGGCTTCAGCGGGTTTGCTAGACGATTTTGAGGACTGAGGAGCACTTCGTTTTACAGAACAGCAAAATTCTTTCTCATAGAGAAGACGCAATGTGTTGTGAGTTCCAGTTGTTAGATACTATAACACATAAAATAAATGAACACAACTGCTGACTGTGTGGCAATGATCAGATGAAGAATGAATAAGGGATGGGCCTTCTCGGCCCTTGCACCACAACCTACAGTAACCCATTGTGCTTAAGGATCAGATGATCAATCAGTAGTGGCTACCCTGAATAAGGACCTTTTGAAATATGTACATTATACCACAAAAATAGAAATGGAAATCTCTATACTTTAGAATGCCCAAGAAAAAGCAGATTTTCATCCTGTGAGTTTCGAGGTTCTGGTTACAGATATGAACATTATAGATATCAACTGAATACATATTTAAGAATGCTATTGATTCCTGATTCAAATGAAATTAGAAAATTGTTCATTGTACTAATGTTGCAAGATGTTATTCAGATAAATATACACATGCCTGCCCATACACAAACACAGAATAGAGTCTTCAATGCAGCGTCACAGGTCACCATCATCAGGAGTATATGATGATTCACAAAATTGTTACACTGTACTTATTGTTATACAGCCTGCAAGGGCTGTATGCCCAAAAAGTCTAACATTTAAACCAATATTGGTGCCTGTTAAAATTTAATACCTAACTACTTTTAAAAACTCTGAAAAAACTTCCAGAAAGATGAAGAATTGATTATTGTGTCAAGGCACCCCTCTTTCTTGTGTTCTGCTTTCTGTTTTTCACCGACACATGTTTGTTGATATGTCCTGGTTGCCAGTGTGTGTGGACTACTAATACTGTTAACATCATTCAGCTCTGAACCTTCTGTCTTCCCATCTGCCGTCTAAAAATGTAAAAACTAAAATATACAGAATTATTATTTTGCTTGTAGTTTTGCATGGGTGTGAAACTTGGTCTCCATCATTAAGGGAAGTACATAGTTTGTGGGTATTTGAGAATATGGTTCTGAGGAGAACTTTTGGACCAAAGAGGGATGAAATGGTAGAAAGGTGGAGAAAACTGCGTAATGAGTAGCTTCATAACTTACACCCTTAACCAAATATAACTAGACTGATCAAGTCAAGGAGGCTGAGGTGGGGAGGGCATTGGGGAGAATTCTGGTGGGAAACCAAGAAGGAAAGCGACCACTAGGAAGATATAGACCTAGTTTGAATGGTAATATTAAAATGGATCTTTGAGAAACAGAATGGGGTGGTAGAGACTCGATTCATCTGTCTCAGGATATGGACCAGTGGAGAACTCTTACGAAAACAGTAATGAACCCTCAGATTCCAAGAAATGTTGTGAAATCTGCAAGCAGCTGTGAGATTGGCAGATCCTCAAAAAGGATTCCGGTCCATGGAGTTCGTTAGATGCCTTCACATGCATGGTGTAAAAAAAATAATGGTATCCCTGTAAGAGGCCATGGAGGCCAACAGGATTGTAAGATGTTGAGGTTCCCATATTTTTTATACAATGGCAGCAAGGCTGTCAGCTCTACGCACCAGCTGCCTTTTACTGCCAAGAATATTCCTGGTACTCATTTCTGTTAGAGGCTGACTCAACCCCAGGGCCATAGTGCGGCTGGAATGATTAGGTCAATTGAAAAAATCCAATGACCTAATCGGGACTTGAACCTGCGCCCTTCCCGCTTGTAGCATAATACCTCAACCAAGTACACTACCGCGTGCCCCCAACATGCATGCTGAGGACTTCAAAATCACACACTGTGTTAGGATTTTTGCCATTAAAGTGCAAGAGTGCAGCAGTGATGAGAATATTGATCAAAATACGAATAGCAAAATTTCCTGGTCCTCCAAGATGGGGGTTGCTTGGAAGAGCTACTTACTTGCCAGTGCAAAAGTGTATTAATCATAACACACAGAGGAAGTCAGATGGATAGTCATTATAAACCAGTTGGCCACAGGATCATAAAAATACAAAGATGCAGGGAAGACTCCTCTAACATGGAACATGCCAGCTAACTTACCCTGAAGATGATAATATTAAAATCATGCTGACGTCTGAACACAAATCTACCTGCTTAAGCTGGGTGCATGTCCGTGAGTCTTCAACAAGAACGAGCACCTTGTTGTTGTACAATGGATCGTTCTTGACTATCTGCTTTGATAACCCATCCACTTCCTCCAAGATCTCAGATAACACTTCCCATTTTGGATTTACTTCTGGCTTCACACCTGTAAAACATTTCAATATTGTCACATGTTGAGTGACTACAGACAGGATTTGAATTGGTAATTGGATTTACTCAACACTTACAGATCAAAACTACAAAGTAACTATAGCATCATCATGCAGCAGCTCAATACAGCACATGCTAAGTTTTCTCAGTCTGCTGTCTTCACCATTTGATAATGACTTCCAATGATGTAGCTCCCTCAGCTTCCATGGTCACAGACTTACTAGCTAGCGACATTATAACAATTAGCTCCTAGGCTGGTGGAAATCTCACACCAACCTCCTACTCTTTTGATTGACTACAACTAACTACACTCTAGACTGGTCCTGCTTAGAACACCTCAGCAGGAATGTAGAGAAAACATCACTTTCAACATTTCTTTCATTGTTGTGTCACACAGCTGTCACATAGACCGTGTAGAGAACGCCACTTCCCATTTAGTCCACTGGTGCATATTAGGAATCTGTTGCCTAGCAAAGGGAACTGTTTACATAGTCATTACTAGCAACACATCTACATGCTATATTGCTGTGGGCTGTGCTTATGACATCTGTGATCGGCCACATCTCCCTTCCACATGGGTTGGTTCTCAAACTACTCCTGCTGATCTCTCCTTAAGGGCACTTGTCCTGAGTGATTCCCTGATAAGATGCATCTGATTCAGGTATACAACCATCTACCTCAGTCTAAAATTTCTTTCTGGTTGGTGGGGGGAAAAGTTCCTTGATTGGTCATTGCTCCTATGCATATCTCTGGCTCTTAAGCTGCTGGTAGTCTATTCTTTCACTTTTGAAGGGGCCCACCCATCCACAATGTCCAGTCACTCACTTCTCGTAATATGATGGAAATACTGTCTACTCCTTTCACCACCTCCAGTCCGAAAGTGCCTGGTGGTCTTGTTGAACACCCTTTTGCTTCCAAGACATAGCTGCCCTTTCAGACCTTGGTCCCTTATGCCTTTGCTGCATTCCAGTTGCGCCTAACATCCCTTCTTTATGTGCTCCTCGTACAACATTGTTCCTGCCTGGTACCTGCCAATCCTGTCCCTTGCATGGTCATCCACCTATGGGTGGCAGCCAATTTCTTCCAGGACCCACCACTGCCCTGGCTCCATCTCTTTGGCTGTCAGCAGCACGCTATGGTTAGTAGATGCCAGTCCCCATATCGGTCCTCTGGTGCTCCAATAGTTTTCACCGTAGCCTTTTCCTTAAGAACGCCCTGCTGCTCCACTATATCTTCCAACTTTTCTCAATCAGTCTCCAAATCCGTGATGTTCATTTTCATGAATCTATCTTTGAAGACATCCACCGTGGCTTCCATTTTCTATAGCTGGGAGTCCATCCTGACCATCATCCTTTTGTGATGGGCATGTAACTTTGCCAGCATTACTTTTTGCAGTTCTTCACCACTGTCATTTCCTTGGCATCCATCTTTTCTATGGCCACCACCAGGCATTCCATTATTCGTTCCAATTTTGTTCAGCTGGCTGTGAGTTTTCCAGCCTTACACACTGGATGCCCTTTACCCCTGGGAAAATTCCAGCTACTCATTTCTCTAAAAGGACAAGTTGACCGCCGGGGCAATATTGTGGCTGGAAGGATTAGGTCAATTGAAAAAAAAAAGGCCTCATTGGGAATTGAACCTGCAAGGATCGTCATTTCCATTTCAAGGATGGAAGGATAAAACAAATAAGCAGCAAGAAGCAGACAGCAAGCAGAGGTGCAGCAAGGTATGCGATAAGTTACATATGTACAAACCTAACGAACTGTCAATCTCCTTTTTCCCAATCACTCTCTGCTTCGAGACAAGAAACAGAGTCTCTGCAGAGTCAAGCAGTAACCAGCCCGAGCTCTTCATTGCATACTCAGTGTTTCGCAGTGAGTTCACCAGTGTGTTGAATGTCACACAGTCACATTTAGTAAGGTATCTGTCAACATTGTGAACCAAAGTCAATTTACATCAAAAGAGAATTTTTATAGGCTATTAAACAAAATATAGTTCCAATTCTTTAATTGAACACTGACAGATTATTACTGGAGTTACTTCTTTAAAATGTAACAAATAAACTGATATTTCATACTGTCCCACTTGATCAAGGCTTTACTCTAATAACAAGCGTTTAAATTTGATTGGTAACAAGATACAATAATGAATTTCTGGTATGGCACAAAAAAAATTAAGTATCATTTATATGTTAAAACCGATTACAACCACTTTGATCTCTTCAGTATACAGAGAAACCTGGATTTTTGAAGAGATCATTTAAAATTAATGTCAAATCAAGGAAATTAAAATTTATGTAGCTATTGAAACTTAATACACAAAATTAATACTGTATTACATTAAAAATGTAACCCAGTTTAATGTATTACAATAAAAAGACAGTCTAGTTCATTTCTTCCACATGTCCATTAAAGCAAGTTGCTGCTTCTTCGCTTCCTGCTGAACCCTGTACACCTTGTACTGACGGTATCCATCATGCTATCATCAGCATCAAACTGCATACAGTATTTCCTCAGAGTGCCAAAGCACTCCTGACAAAAATGTTGCTGGAGGTTCACTTTTTCACCATCATCTTCCTCCTCCTCCTCCACCTCCACCTCCACCTCAGATGTAAAATTTTTCATCAGTCATTTGTTCTAAAGTATGCACCTCACACGTTAACAATATCATGACCACAGGATGTGGTAAGGTAAGTAGGTAAAGTTGTTCTTGTACTTAACTAATTAAGCACTATTGCATGAAGGTGTATGGGAGAGTGGATGTTTAGATCAACATTTTCTTGACCTCAGCACAAGTTGGAGGTGAGTGGTCAACTAAACACACCATCTGCTTTACACCCTGGTCCCCATTGGGTAGGAGGCTGGGCGGGCCTCAGAGCTGGTCTGGACGAGGTGGAAAAGAAAAAATTCTTTACCCTACCAGGACCCCAACTCCAACTCAGTCATCCAGCCTGTAGCCAGTCACTATACTGCCTGCACTATCCTAAATGATATACCTGCTTTCAGCTGACCCTAGTCATCTTTGGTTACATTAAGTTCTGTTGCACTTTCACCATCACTGATTTGATTTAAACTGAACCCACATTTCTGAAAACAGTTCACTATTGCGGTAGGTGTGAAAGAGCACCATGAATCTGCAATAAAATGTAGTGCATCCAAAACATCTACTTTCACTTGTGATCAATCTTAGAAATACTGTTTCTTGCAAGTTGCTTGCAGTAATAATGTTTGACTGACCTAATTATTGCCTGATCAAGTGGTTGGAGATTGCTGCTGTAGTGTGGAGGAAAAAACACAATTTCCTCATTCTTGTGTCTCGATGATGAGCAGCACATGGGTCAACAAAAAGTGAAATCAATGAAGTGTATAATATTTGGGAACTCATTTTGGCACCTAATAGCCTTTAGTAGTCAGTAAAGTTGTCCTGTGTATTCAGTGCTTTTCTGTTAGCTACATATTTTGTGGGCAACGTTCTGAAGCAATGATATGTTGCTTACCACTAATTTATGGTGGGAGTTCATCAGTCCCATTGGCATTACAGGCTAACAGAACTGTCATCCTCTCCTCAGAATTCTTCCAACCACTGGAAGGATCCCCTTTCAAGTCCAATGTCTCGTTTGGTGGCAGCCAGTAGAACATCCCAGTCTCATAACCATTAATAATGTTGTATTTTAGGGTCCTATTGCACTGATTCATATCCATAATGTGTATATATTTTCACCATCTTTTAGTGCATACAATTTCACTTGTCACTTCACACTACATGTTCCGGCATCATTCTGCCATCCTCAGGTGTATCAACCATGTTAAACCATTGCACTGCCCGCCATCAAGTGTCCATTTATAAAATGATATAAAATGTGTGTTTGTCATTGTTCAATAATAAAATTTATATATTAAAACTTGTTAAGATCTATCGTCTTACATGTCGTATATCAAACTCATGTGTAACGCCATTCATCCGCTATGGGAGTCGTTCTTCTTATGTTTTAATTGTGTATATACTGTGTCTTATGATGTATTTTCTTATGTGGCTGCATGCATTCTATTGCTGGACATATGTGTGTCCAGCAATACAACACACACAGCCACTTTAAAATAACATTCTGAATTACCTAGGAATACTGTAGCAGTGGCAATAATGAAAGTCAATTTTTGATAACCATTTAAATAATCAGTCAATATCAATATTATATTATTTCTGCTGTAACTGGGAAAAGAAAACTTAAATATGGAGAAAAAGTTACGTGAGCACATGACGCAAAGTCTTGAGGTCAGCAACCAGCTGCTTAGTCTTCATACTCAGCTGATGCCAGACTGGATCCAGTTGCATCTGTAAGATTTTGTGGAATGACTTGGAGACAGCATTTTCTACGGTTAGCTCATCTGTATCCAGCTGCAACAACAAAATCAATACAATATATTACAGGCAACTATCTTACTCAATGGCTGTCAGTCATAAATTCTTACAAAATACCATATGATGGTCCTGTTTTATATATTGTATGAAGACTGTTGAAAGTGTAATTACACAAGTATATTGCCATGAGAAGTTTCGTGACCGATAATATTGGTTTCTGATTGGATGATTGGCTTTACTGGCACTTCATTATAATTACAGTCAATTATAATAGCCCACAAGCAATGACTGCCTAAGACTCGCCATTCCTTACTGGACTACAAGTGTCTTCTCTTCTACTGCAACTGACTTGGTTCTGATTTACGAATCTGTCACTTATGAATCACTAAGGATGAATGAACTCAAGTGAATTCTCTTATGAATGACTGCGAATGAATTCACGAATGAAGTCTCTTTTATAACTCTGGGTGAACCAAAGAGAGACCACCCCTTGAACAGTTCCTCTATTATATCCTGTGTTTATCTGTTACTTCGAAATGTGTGTTAGTTTCATAGCAATGGTCTGTTGAGGCGGATATGTGCCTAGTGGCTTGGTACCCAGGAACAGAGGTCCTTCCACTGTTGACTGCATAACGTGTTTACTGAACCACTGTCTAGCAATGGTCATATTCCTCACAATATAGACACAGACACAACACACTGTATTTAATCGCTTACATCGATGTGTTCCTTTCCAAGCATCCAACTTCGACTGCCATACTCTCTTATTACATGATGACTGGAACATGAGGACCAAGCCATCATCTGTCAACACTCTTAATTGAACATCCACAACACTCACATTTCTGCAGCAATGGATATGCATGCAACAGTGGAGGAATTTTTGAGGGCGGTGATTTCTCTGCAGTCCATGATGAAGTCGTATACAGATCATCAACTGGACAAGTTAGTTAGTTAGTTGAGAGTCAACAGTTGACACAATGAGCTAGTTGTGAGATGGAAGCCAGCTGGCAATGGCATATGCACGACAGCAGAAAAATCTCCATAGTTTGGGACTGTAACTGAGTAAATACTAGTGAGGGCCATAACAGACTGAGACTCAGTATGAACGACAGTGATTTTTTAAGTGTGTAGATTAGCAGTAGTGTATTAATTGCTTGCAGTTAAAATTTATAACTTCAAAAATAGTTACCCATCCAAACCCCATGTACAGTCACTTAACAAATTACAGTATATACATGTAAGAGTATTTGTCAATTGGTTGGAAATTTATTTGGATGGGACTTACTCATGTGGTAATACCATAAGCCCACCTACCTTCTCTTACAAAATTATTACAACAGACCAACATCACATAGAGCAGAGTTACATTAGTCACAAGAAAAAACAGGTGATTTCTCACTTAATATGATAGTTTTATGAACTACAAAACTGAATGACACTGGTATCACTCACTGTTTGGTTGATGTGTTTGAGTTCCTTGACAGTGAAGTTCATCAGATCCAGCACTGCCGTCTGGATTTCTAACATAGCTGGTGTCAGCGGGACATGAAGCTCTACAACTTGTGGCTACAAGAAAATTTCAATACAACTATTATGTTTTTGAATATTATCCATCATCTTGATTTTATCTAAAAACCATTCTGTTTATTTTTAAAAACACGTTTTGGAGACTGGATTCTGTCTTTGTCTTCAGGTAAAACCTGAAATTTGACTTGACATTAGTCTGTTATCACCTGATCATGTGGAATTTCTTCTTTTTTGTTCTACCCTGAAGATGGAGGCGATACGTTCCTCTGAAACGTCGGTTAACACAATATCTACATGGTTCCACATCCCAGAAGACTGCTTTCTTGAAAACCTACTCAGTTGGGCTCAATTGATAGAGCTAGTTCAATGCATAACATTGATGCTATGTCTTAAATATATATAGGAATTATGTTAACTGCCAACACAACAAATATACTAAGTTTAATGTTTTACAATTCGATCTTTATTCCTGCTACATGTTTCTGTCATATAAGACCATCATCAGGCAGTTATATATAGGAATACGTATAGTTATTAAACTACTGATACGGATCCATATCAGTGCAACATGTATTATATACTAACATAAATTTTTTACCTCAAGTTAGGGTTATAATTAAAGAAGGTACAAAATAAAATAAAAATACGAGTAAAAGATAAATATAAAGAGTATACCATATATCAAGATTTATAATGTGTTGAATATATTATGGGATATTAACACTTTCCGGACCGCCCACCCTTTAAAAGGTTTTTCGCTTTTAAACATGGCAGACCGTTCTCCTGTTAACAGGTTTTTAAAAAATGATAAGTTGCAACACGCTATACATCTCTCTGGCACCACCCAACTTGCACGCAATGGCGCAATAAAACTCTGGAATATTCGCTTACTTGTCAGTAAGTTGATCTTGCTGTTTTCTTAAGCCACTATAAGCGATAACGCTTTGTTGCTCTTCAAGCTGTATGTCTCAGCCAGTAGTTAGTGTTGGGGTATGGACAAGGACAAATTCTTTTCCGATGAGCCAGCTGACCTGCCTTGTGAGATGCGTAGTTATGGTGTTTGAGAGAGCAGCAGTGACAGGGGAGAGCAAAGAATTATGCCCACTTGTGGCCACAGACAGTAAAAGTGACCATAACGATAATGGGGGTAATAACATTGCGGTGACTAACATTGCGGGGAGAGTAAAAAACTTAAAAAATCACAAAAATCTAAACCCTGATTCAAATTGAAATACAAAGCATTTCTGATGAATGTGGTAAAGCCCTGGGCTACAGACCAGATGGTGGCGGCACAACCAGAGTCAGACACAGACTTAGTGCGACTGTGCCCATCCAATCCCACCCCATGTAAGCCTCATTTGGATCCCACAGGGCAACTCTTGGGTGATATGCGGAAACATATCCTCATGAAAATTGTAAAGAGTGAACATTCCAAGGGGAAGCATCTTTCTAGGCAATGCCATGTTTCCACAGTTCACAAAAAAAGGAGCATGTCTACATTTGCAAGTTCTCTGTAATGCCACTTCACAAAGGGGAATGTTTCCAGAAATATCACACTCTCAAGCACTTCTTGGAGCATTGGAAAGTGTTCTCCAAAAATTTTAGTTCATAAAATTAATTAGGAAATTTTATATAAATTTTTAAAGTGAACAGTGCACAAGTTAGGGTAGTAGGTTTAAAAATGCCGGTCCCCAGGGTGATTTAAATATTTAAATCGCCGATCCACGAAGTATTAAAAATATTGGAACATTAGTATTTAAGTTGGCATACACGTTTTTAATCTACCAAAAAAATAATATATTTTTTAAATATTTTAAAAATACTTTTGCTATTTTTAATATTCCATAATACATTCAACACATTATGAATCTTGATATATGGTATACTCTTTATATTTATCTTTTATTTTATTTTGTATCTTCTACTTTAATTGCAACACCAACTTCAGGCAAAAATTTTATGTTAGTATACAATATGACACGTTGCACTGACATGGATCCATATTGGTAGTTTGATAACTATACGTATTCCTATATATAACTGTCTGAGATAGTCTTATATGACCGAAAAATTTAGCAGGAATAAAGATCGAATTGTAAAACATTAAAACTGAGTATATTTGTTGTGTTGATGTCTAATATAATTATTATATACAGGATGTCCAGATGAAAGGTACCCAAAATAAAATAATTATATCTCAGAAAACTTTTATTATACACATTTATGGGTTACACCATTACGAAAGGAAACTATCAAAGTTTCTTCTGAGTATATAACTTTCTCAATAAATTTCAATGTGGGCTCGCATGGTGGCATGACAAATATCCAGACAATCCAGCATGTTTGGTGTTACCACAGCCACAGCATCCCTTATGCGGGCTTTCAGGTGTTGTAGGTCGTTGATCTTAACCTGGTAGACAATGTTCTTCACATAACCCCACAAGAAAGAATTCAGTGGGGTTAAATCTGGCGACCTAGGAGGTCAAGCGACTGATCCACTTCTGCCGATCTACCTCCCAGCCATCACTCTGTCCAAGTGATTCCTAACATAGTGGCAGAATTGTGGCGACGCATGCGCATAAGCCAGGCATGAAAAAAAAACTTACAGGGTTTTCCTTTCCGATGACATAAACTGGACAATTACTTTCCGAGATATATTTTTTTTTATTTTGGATACCGTTCATCTGAGCACTTTATATATCTGGAACACACAACAAGATTCAACCAAAGAAGCCATGTTTTAAAGACATGCCAACTGCTAAGATTATTAATCATTATTATTAGCAGTGTACTAAGTCATTAACAATACCACATTGTTGATCAAAACATGTTGTAAAATGAGATACTATGGAGTGTAAGTGATGTGTGCATAAAACACATAAAACCACACCAACTACAACAAAAACTAAGTGTGGGAACCTCCCGCATTTTAACACGCAGCTTCGTCGGTCTAACAGACAGCATTCAACTTCTGCTCAAGCCAAGTCAATGTCACATTGCCGCACATTGCTGCCAGCGCTCGTATTTATACAACACTTGCTGTCGGGCCCACCTATAGATCATCGCGTGCGCTGGCCAACCAGTGCTCACAATCACAACTGCAAGTTTAGCTCCGCCCAACAAGCATGGTTTAAAAGGCGGAGCTCAAAACTCGCATCATCAGTGATCACATTTGGTTCAGAGCGATCAGTCATCAGTTCTTCAATCGTCTTCACTGCGCCAAAGACAGCTAACGTAGCTGCCGCAGCTCTCCAGCAACCACGCCAAGACAACGGCTCTGTCAGCTCCTGCACCACAGGCAGCTGTTCCTACTGGCACAAGCAGTACCGCATCACCAGCCAGCCAGATCAGCTGAATGGCCGTAAAGAAGACCTGGTCTGCTACAAAGCAGCAAATTCTACTAGCGCACGCACAGTGGAACAAACTGCCCTTTTCAGTGCCAGCAAACTTTTGAACACCATACGTTTGAACAAACGCCCCTCTTCAGGGCCCACAAACTTAACATCGACATTCCACATAGCCTCACAGCTATTCTGTACATTTGAGAATAATATATATATATATATATATATATATAGTTTTACGCGGTTGTTTCTTAGGACACAGCATTCCACATAAGTACTGAGAAGACAGTACTGCAACATTTTTAATATTCAGGGCCCCTACTTCGTATAAGTAGAGTGATTCAAAATGATGGCACCTTTTCTGTCAGAAGTTTAGCCGAAGTTCAGTATCCTTATGGCTACAGTGTATTATTCACTACTGTACTTGAAATTTGCTACCTCTGAGTTTACTAGTTATAACTTCAATTCAGATACTTATCACAATAACACCTTTAAGTGATATTTTTTAGTTGTATATAGTAGTAAATACAGAACTTAAGATGCAAAATGCCATTTGAAGATATGGTTCAGAATAGCACCTCTCTTTACTCAAACCTTACATAACTGTGAGCAATGCCTGTTTACATCCCATAAAAAGAAATACGAAAATGAACTGTAAGCAGCATAAGTCACCTTGAACTTCTCCAAACTGGCATTGACTGTGGCATGGAAGCGTGGCCAAAGGTACAAGTTGCGCACAAACAGTGTTTTCATAGTATGTTCCACCTGGGAGAAACCAATGGTGAATGCTTGTGGTGAGGATGAAAACGCCTTCACAAAACCAGTCTGCAAAGGAAAAAGAGCATGGTCTGACCATTTTTAAGTACACAATACAGCTATTAAAATTCAGAAATGAGGGAGTCAGTAAATAGGTCACAAATGGAATTAAAACAGATGTAATGGGTTTTCTACATGTATCACTAGGTAGCAGCACAGTCCAGCTTCATGAGAGTCTAGGTAGTAGACATGCATGTGCATGTTCAGAGGTTGGTTTCAGTAGTCAAAATGGTGACCATGCTTAAGGAGTGTTCTATAGAAGAGCACTCTTTCTGTGGGCAAAAGGACTCAATGCAGAGGATATTCAAAAAGAAATGGTTCATCTTCATCATTTAGTTCTTTCTCCTGCTCCAAAATTTTTTCATTGCCCAACTCCTCCATGTGAGGCTGAAACAATTCCTCTATAGTGGCCTCATCTACAACCTCAAAACCAACAGTTCTGGCCTCATCAATGACAGCATGCCTTGAACTGCCGATCTCCTCTTCAGGATCAAAGCCACAGAAGATAGTGACTACAGCAGGCAAAATATTTATCTGAACGCCTTCATGCAGGGCTGCAACACCTCTGCCCATGCATCTCCAGTGTTGTCAATGACCTTTTCAACGTTAAAATTTCTCCAGAAATCTTTAACAGAAAGTTGGTCTTCAGCATTGGTTGTGTGTCCTTAACCAGTTAGGCAAACGTCTTCAGAAAACAAAAACTTTTAAAAGTGACAGCAACACCTTGTTCCATTGGTTGAATAAGAAATATGGTGTTTGGAGGTAGGACCATTATATTAACGTTCTCATGAACGTCAGAAATATGTTGAGGGTGTTCAGGGGCATTATCCAGGAGGGTAAGCCTTAAATTCATGAAGGAGTTCACCTGCAAGGTAAGAAGTTTCTTGTCATCCACGCTTTCTTATTAGAATAAAAGTTTGAGTGTCTGAGGGCTTTTTGAATGATATACCACTGTAGGATTGATTTTTTAATCTCCAAATATTTTCAACTAACTGTAGTATGCAATGATCCTTGGAAGCTTTAAATCTTGGGGTCACCTTCTCTTGCACTGAGACAACACTGCACTCAGTATCCGCTTCCAGAACAAACCAGTTACCATCCAGATCAACTCACTGGGGCACTTGGAGAAGCAGAATCCTTGCCTTTAAAGCATTCAAACCACCCAGCAATGGCAGCAAAGGACTACACTTTCAGATCTGGCTCAATAGAATTCAGGTTCTCAAAGAAACTCAAGGTTGGGTCTATCATTATGACCCTGAAACAAAGAAAATGAGCAAGCAGTGGAAACACGCAGACTTGCCGCCACCAGAGAAGGCAAAATCCCAGCCATCATCAGGAAAGGTGATGTTGAGCATGATCTGGGATCGGCAGGGTGTCATCATTACTGACCATGAGCAAAAGGGCGTCACCATCACTGGCGAGTACTACTGGAACTTTCTGAGAAAATTACAGGAGGAAATCAAGAAGTGATGAGGAATACTGGGAAAAGGTGTGCAACTTCTTCACGACAACGCATCGGTTCATGTTACGACAATACTTGCTGCAAGTTTGCGATATGAAATTCTCCCCCATCCACCATATTCATCAGACTGGGCACCAAGACCTTTAAATATACGAGTTAATCCATGATATTAAGCAATTTAGAGTAGGTTTAAGTGCTTTTTTACATACTAAATCCTATTACACTTTAGATGAATATTTTAATTAGGGATAGTTTCTTGTTTAGCTATGACCCATTATTTGATCTATTTTCATATATATGTTCCAATTTTGTATTATACTTTATTTACACAAGGGAGGTTATGTAGTTACAGTGAGGTGTAGGGGTTTAATATGGACGATTTATTGCTGTGGATTTATACACATTGTTCTGTTGACTACTTGCTGATTTAGCAAGCTTGTGGTGTGACAGTTTCTGTATCCAATGGCTTCAGCCTTGTATGGATGTGCTGGAATGCGTAATAAATGCAATACAATCCAAGCAACTTCTTTCTCTTTCCACAGTCTGCTTTTACCGGTTCTCACGGTCTCTCCGCTTGCAGATTTCTTATATTTTTTCTTCTACCCTGAAGATGGAGGCGATACGTTCCTCCGAAACGTCGGTTAACACCACATATACACGGTGCCAAATCCCAGAAGACTGCTTTCTTCATACATATGAAGATTGTGAGGTTCTCACAGTGGTCGTTATAAAGAGTTCTATCCTCTGGGATATAATGACATGCAATCTATTTAAAGTCAACTGACATTTCTGAGGAACAAATTGCCTTTATCTTCATGATCAAGGAATAAGCCAAGCCCTACTCTGCTTGCTACATGCTTCATGCAGATTTCTTCCTTGGCTAATTCTTTGACCCTGAAGATTGAGGTAACATGTTCCCCCAAACCAGAGGCTGATTTTCAGTGGGCTATACAGCATTATATTTCAAAAGACAGACATCTTCAAATCAAATACACTTGATTAAAATATCAGATTAATATGTTTTGAGATATTTAGTATTTTCAATCTCAAATTAGAAGTCCATACAATAACTTTCCACTATTATTTCAAACAAAATGTTTACATTAACACATTAATTTCCTGATATACTGTGACACAAAAAATAATTACCTGAGGGTTTTCAATTAGTTACCAACTCTAAAATTACATGTTTCTACAGAAGACCTGATTTATATTTCTAGACAACTTCGAAAACATAGAAGCATTGTTGTGAATTATTTTTTATTAATGGGCCATTCCATACCAAATCAACACAGCTCACAACCTTATCTACTCTGATTTTAAGGAAATCTGGCCAACTAATATGACCAACTAGAAAAGAACTCTATTTGAAATGGTTCAGGAGATACTTTCATTTAGAACTTTCAAAATTTGGTAAATCTGCCCCATCAGTGATCACAAACTTGATTCTAACTCTGGTTCTATTTAATGCTAGAGCTGAAACTGGGACTGTTTTAAAGCACTGCTTTGAAATGGTGTATTATCACACCAAAGAATTCAAGGTCATTACATTTAAAATTTGATCTTGAATTTATTCATAAACTACAATTTAAAAGTTCTAAAAAATGTTACATGCTAATAACTGCCTGAAGCACACTGAAAAGTTGAAAATGAAAAGTTAAAAGAAATTTCAAGGAAATAAATATGTTGTTATTTTGTTCTCAAATAGGTCACAGCTTGTTACTTTCCAGACACTGGAAGTTTGGGTATTTTAGTGTTTCTATGTGGTGATATGAGTTACCCTGTTCTGAAACAACAGCATTTCAACACGTTTTCATTCAGCTCTATTGTTATGAAATCTGAGTTAAGAATTTCTGAACTGAATATGTTTAGGAGTGCATGAACATACATATCACATACATTTCACTTTGCAGAGCAAGAAACCAGCATGAAGGACAACAAGCTAGCTTTGCATGCTGCCTGCTTCATGCTGGTTTCTTGCTTGGCTTACTCTTCAACCCTGAAGATGGAGGCAACATGTTCCCATGAAGTACTGATTGACCTTCAACAGAGTGCTTGATGTTATATCACATAAAACAGAAAGTTCATAACCACTGCTGTGAGAATCCCAACTCCTACATAATACCATTAGCAAGACAAAACAATGATAAACGGCAAAGGTATCCTTTAAATACAAGGTACGCTACTTAGGAATGACATAGAAAGACAAAGTTATATCACAATATGCATACAGAGCCAATGTAAGAGAAAATCATACAATGTTAATATAAAATTGAACATTTTAATGAACAAAGATGTGAGGTGTATTTGAACGGTTCAGGAGCTAGTTAAGTGGTGGTCTTCTGTAAATGTGGTGAGGTACCTTCAGGTTCCAACAAAAGAAAATATTTCTTGACCACATATACAAATATCAAGTGCTCAACATATACTCCACGTCATGTACGCAGTTATAAAATGAACATAAAAGAAGACCGCTGTCTAAAACATTACACTCCAAACTGTATCATCCTTTACCTTAAAATTTTCAAGGTGCAAAGTATACTTCTGTTTTTATTATTAAAAGAAATGAAAATACATCCATATGATTTATTGAATATAAAACTTTCACACCTTGTTTCTTTGACGATACAGACGGATAGCGAATGCTTCCTGGCATGATTCCAGTACTGTGTGCGCACGGCATACAAGAAATCCAGTAATAAGTGAGACAGGAACTCTGCCCTTGAGCAGGTCCACCACAAGAATGCGGGATGACACAAACAGAACACCTCCTGCCAAGTACACATTCTCTCTGCAACAGATTCATCAGTGCATCATACAACTTAAAAAATAAAACTAGAATTAAACACAAGAAATATGTGTAATGTATGCATGCCATGACAATTCTTATTTGCATCGATAGCTTATCTTTCATAGTTGAGAATAATTTTCCTTTTAGCATCAGACTATAGTTTTACATCACAGAAAATACAGTTGACTTTCACTTAACTCTTTGACTGGCGCGAAGGGTATTTAAATCCCACCCCTGTCCTGGCAGGCCCTTTAAACCTTATGTTGCTAAAATGCATGTTGTTACTTTTTCCTAAACAACTTCAACAAAAATTGGTTTTTAAAAACGAAATTTTTAGGAACTAATTAAAATACAATATTTTATGCAATAAATGCTTTTCCACACCTCTTTATTTGTTTTTCTTCGTGTGATAAACATTGAAACATGAAAGTTTGCAGAGAGCCACACCACAGCCTGCACACATGATACTTGTTTCTTTTCTAACCTTGTAATTAGCACTCACGCGACACTTTCTCAGGGCACCATTCTTCTTATTGTTACTGTTAGGAACATGGACCATTTTGTGAATTTTCAAGCCACCCTCTAGACGATTTGCTGGCTCTTTCACTGGTGGTCTTTTCAAGGTCGAGGGCGGAGGCGTGACTGCACTCTAGTCTGACCCAATAGATTCGTCATCCACTTCATTC